CTCTCTCTCTCTCTCTCTCTCTCTCTCTCTCTCTCTCTCTCTCTCTCGTTGTTGTTTTTGTTTTGTTTTGTTGTTGTTTTGTTTTGTTTTTCGAGACAGGGTTTCTCTGTGTAGTCCTGGCTGTCCTGGAACTCACTCTGTAGACCAGGCTGGCCTCGAACTCAGAAATCCACCTGCCTCTGCCTCCCAAGTGCTGGGATTAAAGGCGTGTGCCACCACTGCCCGGCAGCAGGTGGATCTCTTAGTTGGAGACCAGCCTGATCTACAGAATGAGTTCCAGGACAGCCAGAGCTGCACAGAAAAACCGAGTCTCAAAAAAACAAAACGATACAACCAAACGCTGTCCAAGGGCTAGGACTGGCATGTAGGAAATGAAGCCTGGCCATCTTTCTATTTATATAGATAAGGTTATAAAGACTATACAATTATTTCTCTTGTTTTATTATTATGCTAAAATGTATACCCTTCACCCCCTCTGTAGAACAGATGCAATTTCTCGTGTGTCACTTCATTATAACTTCTGAGTCTTTCACTGTTCCAGGGATTGACCTGGTCATCAAGGAAACAAAGGACATACACAGAAGAGCTAAAATTGGGTGGTCTGGGCTCTCTGATGGACCCTGTGTCTTAGTCAGTGAAGAGATATCATGACTTCAGCAAATCTCATCAAGGAAAGCATTTACTGTAGCTGTCTTACAGTTTCAGAGGTTTAGTCCGTTACCAGCATGTCAGGGAGCATGGAGACAGGCAGGCAAACATGGTGCTAGAGAAGGAACTGAGAGTTCTACATCTGTATCAGCAGGCAGCAGGAATCGAGAAAGCCACTGGGCCTGGCTTGGGCCACTGAAACCTTGAAGTCTTCCCCCGATGAGACACACTTCCTCCAACAAGGCCACACCCATTCCAAGGCCACATCTCCTAATCCCTCTCCAGTAGTGCCACCCCTTAATGACCAAGCATTCAAATCTATGAACCCATGACCGCCGTTCCTATTCAAGCCATCACACCCCGGAAACTCAGCTTGCTTACTATGTACAGTGGAGCAGAGAGGCAAGTTATTGCATAGAGGTAAAGAGAAAAGAGGGCTATTGCATACAGCTGAACAAAGGCAGGTTTAGCTAACCTCTATAGGGGCGTAGTCTTCAGGCCATTAGCATCCTAGGAGAGTGGAGGAAACAACAGTGGACATTTTTTAGTCACAATCAACACTCCATTCTAACCAGAGGAAGCATTGCCATCCCTCTGAACCCCACCCAGGGAAGGCTTTGCCAGTCCCATGGGGCTGAAGCATTGGTCTTTGACATGGCTGTGCCCATGTCAACAACATCCATGCACTCAGGATTTCATTTGCTTCCTACATATAACACTGGCTACAAGAGTTTCAGGTCACAAGCCAGGGTAGTGGGTCTCAACCTTCCTAATGCTATGACCTTTCAATACAGTTTATGTTGTGGTGATTCCTAAACATAGAATTATTTTTGTTGCTAGTTCATAACTAAAATTTTCCTGGCATTATGAATCATAATGTAAATATTTTTGGAGATAAAGGTTTGCCAAAGGGGTTGAGATCCACAGTTGAGAACTTCTGAGCTAGGGGCTTAAAACGACAGTAATTAATTCTCTAAATTCTAGAAGCAAAACACTCTAAGCCAAGGTATTGAGAGGCCTACATTCTCTTGGAAAGGGCTAGTGGGAATTCTTTTTTTTTTTCTTTCTGAGTTTTACATGTATTTTATTATTGTTTTGAGACAGGAGCTTAGCACGTAGGCTGTCCTTAAACTGACAATCTCCCTGCCTCAGCCTCCTGTGTGCTGCAGTTAAAGATGGAGTCTGCCCCATCTAACTGTATAGGAAGAAGTCTTTGCTCCTTTCCCCGTGGCTGTGACCATCAGACCTTGGGATTACTTGACTCACAGGTTGTGTCATTGCAAGATCCCCGTGCATTGCCACCGCGTTTTGATTTCCAGTCTTTCTCTCTTAGTCTGGATTAAGGGTGACCCCTACTCCAGTGACTTTGCCCTAACTAGTACATACATACTGATTATTTCCAATAAAGGCTAAATTCCTAACTACTGGAGGGTTAGGGCCTCATCTTATCTTTGGGAAGGCACACCTTAGTTACAACATAATCTTGAATCCAAAATTAATCATCGCGCCTCCTACCTTGGAAGGTTCTTGAAGGGAGGAAGTATTTATTGCAAACCAGTGCCACCTGGGTAAGAAACATTCAGCAAGTGTAAAATGAATGTTTGCAGGTTTCTGTCTAATGTTTCAAACAGTCTCTGATTTCTGAGTGCCACATATGCACTCAGATTTTACCAGTGGTATAGGAACTATTTCAGATCTGTTGCTTCTGCATCTTAACATCATCTTTAGGGTGGGTTGTGATTTTCTTCTAAAGGCAGTGTCAGGGATAGGGTAGTCCCCTGTTAACATTGGGGAAATCTGTCTGTCTTTGGTATTTATAGGCATGCATTAACTCATGTTCTTTTGCATGTAAGTGGTCAGAACCAGCATCCTACACCCTCCTGTTCCTTGCTGGGCTATGATTTCACTCGTCTCTGCCACAGCTTTGAGTTCAGGTAATGTCATGATATGAGCAGAGAAACTGGGTTTGATGACAGTCATTCTGCCCACTGGTGAAAGAACAGTAAAAAGAAAAAAAAAGTCTTCAGACCAGGAGACCAATTGGGAGGCCTTTTCGCAGGCATGTTGAGGGGCAGCCTGAACTCAGGCTACAGAGACAAGCCATTCCTAACTTCAGATTACTCCAAAACACAGCAGCAACAGAAGAAAATGGAAATTGAAAGACCACATTCTCCATCCTCAGCCTTTATTGTCCCACACCAACAAAAGAAATAGGAAAAAAGAAATGTGTTTAATCTCTCAGACTGTGGCCTCCCGTCTGTCTTCCTTCCTCCCTTCATCCCTCCTCCTTCTTTGCCAGTTGCCAGTTGGTCTGATGACTGATTTCTGGGTTCTCCATTACAATCACCAGCAGGAACCTAAATATAGTTCCAGTTCTCTCTGGGTTGAAGGGTCGGGGAGGATCGCTGGGGCTTTGATAAGGCGTGTGGATGTGGGTGTGGAGAGAGTCGAGGTGAATCAGGCATGGCAGCAGACACTGGAGTTCCCAGCACTCATGAGTCTTTGACATGGACTGGGTTTGAGGGCAGACTGGCTGAGGTAAGACCGAATCTCAATGAAGGAAACAAATGAAGAAGAGA